TATCCCATTTCCAGTTAACCACAGATCCTAAGCCTCGGGAGACTGCTAAACGCTGTAATTTGTTCGTATTAAGACGCCTCATTTGAAGCGGTTGGGGTGCAAATTTTAACGTCAGTTATACAGTTATATTACTAAAAGTTCAGAGTAATTTCAAGCCTTGTTTTATTGATATTTGTCAAGTTGAATAGTTACGCCAAGTTTGGGTTATTGATTAGGCAGCTAAAAGAATTACCCAGACAAAATCAGTTATTTTGTTATTGAACGTTATGGTGGTCATTATTGATTGATTAGAATCTAATAATTTATTTTCGTAAATATACCAACTTCGACAAGATCGTGATTGTGATACTTATGACATCTTCCAATTTAGTTGTTTAAGTTTTGACAATATGCGCATAAGGAAAATATATTGCTCCTATTCATTTGAAATAGAAATACAGTTATTGTGTGTCTGAGAAATCGAGCTGTTTGTGTCATATTATGCCAACACAGACAATGTAACGTAGGTGTCTTTGCAAGAAGAATATATACAGGAAATTGCGTTATACCCTTCAGATAATAATCGCATGTTCTGAACATAACCTATCACGGCGCATATATGATAAATTGAGTGTGCGTTTTCTGGTAGCACAGCGGGCGTTGGAATAATAATAAACTTGTCCAGCTGAACAGTACAAGATAATTAATTCGTAGGTGCATCTTTAGTGTAACTAGTACACAGAGCAGGATAATCAAAATGAGTTAAAATACACAGAGTAAGGTATACAGTATTGCGTGAATCAAATTAGGACGTATATACCTATACAATTGGATATAAATGTTGTGTGGGCTTTCTCAAAGTGAGTTCTCAGCACAGTTTGATTGATACTAGCTATATATTTCGAATAAATATTTTTTGCTACTTTTTGTAAATCAGGTAAACGTAGCAATCAATGATAGTTTACGTTGTTACACTGATTGGCCTACTTTAAATTTTGAGTCTGCCTCAGGGATTCAATCAAAAACAATTTAGTTTCACGCCCATGGAAAGTTGGTCAATTGCATAGGAAAATTACTCATATTATGTTTGGTATTTGTTACCTGTTCTAGCCTTGTATGTCGATTGGAAATTGTATTTTGTCCCATAATAAATGACCTCTGTAAAAGGTACTCCCGAGGTATCTGAACCAAGATGGCGGACACCGGAACGTAGTATGTGTACCAGGTTAGGGATAGGCCATAATTTTAGGTACAAATAGTAGTCACTTGGCTAATCCCCGAACTCGTAATAGAACTAAAATAAGGAAAAACGGAAAGAAATTTTTTTGGCTTAACCCTAATCTGGTACACATACTACGTTCCGGTGTTCCTCATCTTGGTTCACATACTTCGGGAGAACTCTGTAAAACACATATCTGTTTATTTCACGTATGAGTTTTTGGTCTCACGACTTTCTCAATAAGAAAGATAAAGTTATGGTTTCTGTCGGATTTAATACTGTCAAAATTAATTTTGATCACACGATGAACATATCACATCGTTAATAGATTAAGTATGCAACCACAAGTAACCGGACGTAATTATATGAAACCCGTGGGCGTATGTATGGTCATTATGTGCTACAAAGACGTTAATTCAAGATATTCGGGAATACGTCCGATTATCATGGTATGTATACCTCTGAAACGTTTGTAACATGCATTTTTTACCCGGGCCATAACTAGTTGACCGAAGCGATCTCAGATTTGTTTTAACTTTTCCTACATGCATCGGAAAATAGTCATCGCATTAACACTTGCTTGTAACACCATGAATGTCTCAATATCAGTATTATCATATGAAAATGAGTACATGATGCCAGTCCTCGAAACTGTATAGCGCGAACACGAGTTAAAATTAAACAATTCGTATGTTAGTAACATGGAATTGATCTCTCCAGATTTGAACGTTTAATTGTATGGATAAACATCAATAAGTAATTCAGTAAAAGCACATGCATAAGTATACGTTTATTGGTAAAATTTTGTCAACAGTAAAATGCCACTTATGCCCTTGCATATTTTATATAGTGTGTTTGAGAGCCCGAAATAATCCAGCACGGGCCGAGTAAAATTAACCCCGATGACATTTTAACCCCGATGTCACCGGTGCAGTTAATCAAGAAGTGTAAACTTGACAAGCTAGTTTCGCTAATTGTAATCAAGTACACGCAGTTTTGTATTAAGATGATTGCATTTGACCTATGTCAGTAGCTTCAGTTGTGTTGTATTAGTACGTGGCAAAGCTATCTATATGTTTCAATAAACTTGAAGCTACTATTGATCTCGTTGAGCATAATAATGCGAACACTTTCGTGAAAAATGTCGTGAATATTTTTTAGTTTAACTGTATAAAAAAGGCTTTGTTGTCATTCGCGCGCAGACAGATTTTCACATATGCTCATACCACAGAATTATTTGGGAAACTTGAGTTATCTCTTTATTTAACATTTGTGTGAATTGCGATTGATGGCCGAGTTCAGCCAACTGAACTAATTTAGACAATTTGCTGACAACAGGTCATATTTTACAATAAGAAAAACGCATCGAAATTTTCATACTTTCGCATGGAAATTGCCACAGACAATATAAATTGTATCCGCAGCAATACCGGAGGTAAGCACGCAATAAGCGAACTTCCCATGATGACTTCAACAAGACTTTGTTTCGGTCTTAGATTGAAGAAAAAAATGCGATGACAATGCATTGCCACAATGACTTTGACTATATGTTATATTCATCTCGAAGATTGTCGTGTATTGACCATGTCTTATGCGCTAATCAGCATACAGCATTGTATTATCATTAAGTATTTTACAAATAGAGTTCAACAGCTCTTAGATATGAGGAGAAATCTCTTCAATTATGTGTGTCAATTAGATGGAGATTCGTAGATGAAATTGCATAGGTTGCACGGCTTTGAATGAGGAGATTTTATATAAAAAAAAAGTAGTCTACAAGACAGGATATCGAAAGTAAATCAAACAGCTATGAAAACAAAATGCGTCTACTTAATATTTCTATCTTGTGACTTTTGCTTAGCCTTAGATAGTAAATTTGACACGGTCTCATCTTGTTGAGATTCAGTACGTAGTTTAACTTCGATTTTCCCTATTGGTACCTAAAGTACCTGAAAATCTTTGTATACAAGAGGAAAGTATCACGTCTTGCAGAATGTTTATATGAGTCGCTCACCCATGGTAAGTCAGTCATTTAGACTTTTAAAAGTTATATCTCAAACCCCATGTTGGTGTGGTATTCTAAGTATGAATTTCAATATCTCTCGGGCTTTAGCTGTCGCCATGCCAAGGATTTTATTTATAACCATACTGTCGTCACCGATATGAATTCAATTTCTGAGATTCTTAACTTGATTTTTTAAAGAAATCTACCAACCGTTAACTGTACCGACATCTCTGTTGTCAATACAAACATATGTATGATGTATTACTGCGTCGGCGATCGCTTGCGATTCTGTCATGTTATACCAGATATTAATTGTCTGTCATTCCAAGCCTCAAACCACCATCTGTTACGTTTAAAAGCACGTGATACTTTAGGAATTAATGATCCAAATATCAACTTTAGAAATGAAGTGTCTAATTTTTTCTTCAAGTCAGGCGAACCGTTACTCTGTCGTGTTTTATTTCAAGTTGAGTTTTTAGTCAAAAACAGGTTTATATGGTAATCTTATTTCTACTAGTTATTTGGATTCTGCAATGAAATTGGTATCGTCAAAAATGTTAGTTTTTCACGGGATTGATAGAAAAGAAATTAGAAAAGTATGTTGTTGACTCAGGGTGAAGTTGTGTGTTAGAAATATGAGTGGATTGTGAAGTTTGCTGTAGTTCTAATCGCATACTCTTTGGTTATATTTGTAGCGATTAGAAGCACGTTGTAACTTTTTTTCAAAAGTGTACATTTTTGCAAGGTAATCGCGCCAATGTTCATCTAATCCAGTGGTTCTTAAATTTTTATGTACCATCGTCCGTCGCCTTCTTACAGCACGATTTACATTATTATCGCCAACTACCTCATGAATTACCCGATTTTATTGAGTATAGTAGAGTAATTGGGTCTCGACTAAACCCCTTTTTCTACCAAATAAAATGTTGGAAATGAAATAACGTATGGTTATACTACTTCAAGAACGAGCGGGTATTTACCAGATCACTTTGCACCAAATATATATTATATAATACCTTTTTTTTTGTAAAAACTCTGGGGTTTTTGCGATATTGTCCACTTTGAGACGGTCTAAACTACAGGGCTCCAAAGTTGATCGACCGGGGGCCAAAATTCGAAGCGGAAGGATATTTGCGGCTCGGAAGAGGTAAGCGCCCGCAGGAAGCCTATACCGGTACCGGTGTCCGGTACGTATAATTGAGATGTCGATATAATTGAATTGTTACGAATATACACGTGATTTAACTGTGATAATGCCATAGCAATTGGCAGTATCTAGAACGCAAAAAGGTAAAAAAATTAAGTGTTGAATTATTTCACTTAAGTTCGACGGGCCATATTGAATCCTTATGCTGGTCGTAACCGGCCCGCAGGACGTGGTTTGGCAACCACTGGTCTAAACGGGCTGAAATTATCGAAAGAGAAGTCATTTATATACATAGACAACCGATGAACTATACATATACTTTCGAGCATATAGAGCATACATGTACCAGAAAATGATGATCACATCTGGAAAACTTTCGAAATTGATTAGTCATTACAACATGGAACCACTGACGTGAACACATAGAAACTAAAATCTAGTTTTATTGGGCAAAGATGCTGTAACGAAAATGTTTTTGAAGGGAGGGTAATAAAATATAAAGAATTAATTTGACGTATTTCATAAGTTATAAGTTAGTTTCGAAGGAATCATTTTATTACGTTTTTACATCATATTATTTTAATTAAATTGAAATCTTCTATCAATTAATAAATAAATTATCATTTTTCAGATTTATATTTCTCTTATAGTTTATAAAATGTTTAGAAAACCGACGCAAAGATGGAATATGGATGTACCCACCAACTCCTTTCAGGTGCAGTATTATTGTTTTACGAAAAATTGTCGATGCGATACAACCAGCTTTATGTTTTACTTGAGATGTGAATCACCTTTTTTTAATAATAATATGCAAATATGTTGTAATAATACCACGGTATCAATTGTGTGATTAAAACTAAATTTAAGATCTGATCAATTCAGAATATACATGATTGCCATTGACGTCAAAAACGTCATCAACTTCACAGTTTTATTTTTGCGTGTTATCAGTTTGATTAACATATTATTGCATATACCACAGGTATATGTACCCGGTGTTATTCGACTCATTATAAAACAGAATGTTTTTTGATACATCTGCGATTCACTAAATAACTTGAATTAGACTTTATAAATAATATCGCAAGATATTGTTTTTCAAAAATATCTCAAAGAAATTTGCCAATTGTCAACGTATTCAAGTACACCGAGTGCAGATTACCGGGTTATATTGTGACTGATATCACATTACAGAGATATCCCTTACTGCAAAGATTGCTTGTAGCAATACGATCTTCTTCTGATATAGTTATTTCGTAATTCCCCCTATTTTTTCATTTTTAAAATATTGTGAATATATTCGAAAAAACTCTACAAATGTGATTTTATATTGCAAACCTTATAAAGTTTGCGTTTATTTTAAAATCGAACGACAAAAATGATTTTTTTCCCTTTTTAATTGTGACCTTCCATTGATTATTTATGGTAATAAAAATAAAACCAGTTTTTCCGGAAATTATTTATAGAAAAGAAGAGTTTTTTTCTGTTCGGGTGCTATAAATAAAGTAATTATCGTACTGAATATTGCCGGCACATTTCATATTTATATATAAATGATAATCCTCATTCAATATAAATGTTACGTACATCCGAAATGTAATTTTACATTTTTCGTTTCCCAAATTTAAAGTTCAAATTCAGATTTTATGACGCTATAGGCATATTTTGGCTAAACGATTATATCTGATAAAATAAGTCTAAATAATAATAAATCAGAATTCAAATTTTTAGTAGCTAAATGATCTGAGCTGATTCTAGGTCCGTGAAACTGTAATATTCAAATATGTAAAGCTATATGTATTTTGGTTCTTTTTACTTAAAATTACGTACTAGAGTTCTTGCTTGGAGTCCAATCAACTCATCAACTCACGTTTCCTATTATATAGTGTAATTTGATCGAATTGTTGTTTTTTATTTTATTTTGAGACTACGTGATTCACAAAAAAAAAATTAAAGCTATATTAATTAATCTTTCCCGTTTAAAAAGTTCGTTCATACAGACACGACGTATAGCTGAAGACTTGAATGTATCTTCGATTCGTGATTCACTGTTGATTCCTATGCTTAACGTTAACAATCTCTGAATGGGCACGGACATCACGAATTAACGAAAATTCCACATTTACGCGATTTGATTTGAGTTATTTTTATCAAATCTCTTTCATTGAATGATTATAATAACGTCTGTCTTATGTATTTTTGTGCAGCATCGCAATTCCGTCCTCAACTTTACGAGGAAAGGTTCGATGAGATTGCACGGATTCCAACAGAAAAGAGCTTTAAAACGCGGAGGACTGAAAAGTATCGAGATGTTGTACCTAAAATTCGCAGGCCAAGGAGATGTGCAGGTTCGCCAATATTCAAGTGTTGGAGCTGAAAAAATTTCGAGAATGTCGCGAGATTAGAATCACTATTTAATAAATTCTGTTGATGCTCATTAAACAGCTGCTTTTAAAGTTGCATCTATAGCGGAAATTTTTGTGAAATATTAGAAAAATTGCTTCGTCAAAGAAAAGTTTCCCAAAAAGTACCGGTAACGAATAATGTAAATTAATGTTATTTTGCCGACAATACAGAATCGTTTTCCAAATAGAAACTAATTTATTCTGCAGAGACCATGATGAAATATTAGAACAATTGCTTGATCAAAGGAAAGTCAAAAGAAAGTAAAAAGTACCGGTAACCAACACTGTTATTTTGGCGACAATACGGAAACGTTTTCCAAATATTTTTCGTCTGCTATCGTTAGTAAGTGGACGATGTCCATGGGTATATCCGACAATCCTTCATCACACAAAAAAGTAATTGTTATTTCTCTTTTCAGATGGTTGAAAAATTGTTCAAAAAATACTCAGAAGAACAGCTGAACAGAAATTGTACCGACTTTTTCGATCGAACGGCTCTTGTTCTTGCAATCACAAACCGACACGAAGATATGATAAAATGCTTGCTAAGCAATGGAGTAAGTTTTTGGAATTGTTTTGTAAATGAATATATTTTTGGCATAATAATATCAAGGTTTTGAAAGGTTTTGAATAATTCAGAATTTTTCATCTCAGTGTCCAGATTACCCGGCAAGTCAAAATCCATGCAGGATAATTGATTAATTTCATGATGTTTCATTGTCTAATATATATATAGAAATTGTTCTATTTCAAACGAAACAAGCTTAATGAGTTCTAAAAATAAAATAATAACAGGAAATATGCGCAATTGCAAAGCACTACACTATCTCTGCGTCCCTGATTTTTGAATGCAAAAGCAACTTTAATGTTCGGTATTTTGGATGTGTTGCATTAGATCCATTTTTATTCCCCACATTAGTGATTATTTTGGTCGCACACACAGAATTAATCCTAATATATGAGATAAAAGATTCATAATTAATTGGCAATTAAGAGTTTATTAGGCCACGCATAACGTAGTAATATAAACTAATTTTAATTGTAATCCCTCCAACATGTTGCCACAGGCAACAACAACAAAACAGTGACTTACTATCGGCATTATTTACCCCTAGCCACGTCGTTGTGACAAGAATAAATATCAACAAAACTTAAAACAATTTGATTAAATATTCTTACAAAATATAACAAAAAGTCTTGTTTTCATGAAATCGTTTTAGTCAAAATGCAAATTCGACAAATCGTTGAAATTCAGTGAAGAATTTGTCATCCACGTTTGAGAAGCTGTCAGTCTTAACACGGTGTTATTTAAACGCAATGTTTCAACTAAAAGGAGCTGGCAAAATTTACTTATTTTTTAAACTGAATTTATAATTCAAGGTCGATCTTACGGAGTCACTGTTTTACGCCATAGAAAATGAGTTTACGGAGGCGGTGGAATACATACTAAACAGTGACACTGCCAAACAGACAAGACATGTTGAAATGTTGGTGACAAAGCGAAGAATCAATCTTCCCACGCTTCCTGAGTCTATCATGCTGGCGGCTCACAAGAATAACTATGATATATTGGAGATTCTGTACAAGTATGTAACTTAGATAAGTTTATAACCATATTGTGCTTGTTTTTTGTACCCCCGTAATATGTGTACCAGGTTAGGGTAACCCGGTTAGGCCATAATTTGATTCCGATTTTCCTTATTTTAGTTCTATTACGAGTTCGGGGACTGACTGTGTTAGCCAACTGAATTGAATATATCCATATATATATTCATATCCATAGGTTTCAGTCCCTTTACACAACTTGATATAAAGAGGGCGAACAAATTAAGTTACCTCCATATTGTTACACACACTTCTGGAGCGCCGTTTTTTTATGAATAAACACTAGTATTGGTTCATAGTTGTGAAAAAGAAACGATTTTTCTCTATCATAAAATCGCCCCCAAAAAAACAATTGAGCATTCTCTTTTGCCGCTGGCAAAATATCATTAATTAGTATTAATTACATGACACGGACTTGAAATGTAAACCTCCACATCTGTGTTGGTATTCATTATCATGCAATGACAGAGTTCTATGCATATACGGTATGTATGTACGTGCCCACTTGTATGACTAAATTGCATGAACGTGCAAACACTTGTGTGGGAATGATGTTAAAATAGCATTACAAAGGTCACCATACCGTGCCAAACTTCTCAATTCTATTCTACCTAATTCAAGTGTCTTGCTGTTCTCGGTAGTTATTCTCGCGTAACCCAAACTGAAACTTGAGAATTATCGTTCTTTTAATCACGCTATATATTTGGCCATTTATAAAAATAGATTGCCGTATTAGAATATCAGGGAATAACCTCGTCATCGAAGCAATACCATGGGGGAGGAAACGAGAAATAAGCGACCCCTCAATGTGTTCTTAGATTGCATAGGTTTGTTTACATTACACTGTCATGAATGACATATCCAACATTAAAGCGCGTGTATCGTGTATATGGTGATCTAACACCGCTTTCTGCCTGCGGCTGATATCTTCCAATTTAAATTCTTAATATGCATTTTTTGGCAACCTTCATCTTACGACTTGGTTCGGTTAGTCCCCATACATTTTATTAAATTAGAAGGGTGATAATCAAGTCAACATTATATCACAACTGAATTCCATTGATATAAAACAAAATTGGCCTACACATATTGCTGACATTTCATATGCTCCTGGTCTGTTATTGTTATTTTAACTTTGCAGTTTTGCTTTTTCCTCACTGAAGTAGCAAAATTGGTCCCACTCAGGAAAATTTCTGAGTAATTATCCATATTGCAAATACGTTTTTGTTTTTTTCAGCCACGGACATCGTCTTCGTGATTTGTCGGCAAGTGCAAGTAACAAATGGGATGAGATCCGACTAAGGTGGCTGTACTATAAAGGTATTTGTATGAAAATAATTTATGAATCAATATTGCCAATCAAATTCCACGTCCTTACCCTTAATCATGAATAATTGGTGTGAGATATATTACAAGTGGACAATTGAACTGTTTAACAAATAAATTGTTTTTAATGTTAATGTATAACAGAACCTTTGCTTCGTATAACATGTATATTGTGGAATGAAATTCTGCTCGTTTTTTCAATAAACCCATAGTTATTTTCAATTAAACATCATTATAGCATACGAAACAGTATCGACGGTGCAATATATTCATACACATATATATTATAATTCAATTATTACAAACACATATTACATGCACACATAGACATGGGAAAATTCCATAGTTTTCAATGTTAAATAGAACAGATATTTTGTTAAATTTCAACAAATTCTTGAAAACATCGCTTGTCAAATTAGGAGTGGCTTTAAAACCTCTTGAATCATATTTGTAGTGAACAAAATGATAGTTTAATAATGCGGAACTTTGGCCGTAAATTAACAGCACGGTTGATGAGAGAGATATCATATATATCTCGTTATTCGCCCTTTTAAACCTTGGTTAATAAGGTAGTGAAGAAACAGTGCTTTTCGTTTTTAGTTAAAGATTTCTGCCAATTGTTTCGGGGCAAAGTAACAAATATTCCGCTCAAAGTTTCTTTTATTGAACTGATATACCGAAGTGTAATCTTATACACCAAATCATTTGTTAGGCAGAAACTATCACCTTTCATAGTATCTCAAATCTGACGGGGTTTATTCAGATACCGACTATTCCCATGTTGATTAATTAACGTTGCATTATGTGGTGTGTTTTGTACGTACTCCATCATCTCGAGGGACATAAAGGAATTGCATTTTAATGAATGACACTAAGAAATGATCAGCTTCTATATTTCTTTGTTATTAAAATTGAATAAAACTTAAAAGCGTTTCTTTTTATAAGTATATATATTAGTCTTCTGCCTGTCAACAGTTAGTAATGAATCCTAGAAAATTTTCACCAAACAATTACAGTTTTTGATAAGTGTACAACTTCCATGCAAAAAACATTTCCAATTTTATTCCTAAATACAGTTTTTTTTCGAATAAAAAATTTCTCTTGTGTTTCAGCGCGGGCGAGTCAAGCTTACATGATAATAATGTACAATAAAGAAAAAGTCGATCCACTGAACGAAGCTATCGAGTTTTACGGAACACTAAAAAGAGAAGGATTAAAAGCGAGGGAGGTCAGTTAAAAAATGATACCCTGCCCTTATTCAGTAGGATCAGTAAGGCTAGGTTCATTGCATATTCGGCAGTGAGCATATTCTTGGGCAATTTAATCAAACGAATTTATTATAAGTATAAAAGTCCATTTTAAATTTTGCAAAATATTTAATATATTTTTGACATCCACAGAAGTAAAGATGTTCTTTGCATATTGTGCCATTGCGCCAATGTCTTTTATAACGACAATATTATTAAGTTATTTGGTCATACAAAAGAAGTCTGTCTGTAAATACCAACAGCCAAGGTTTTATATATAACTAACAGCTGGTGGTAATTGTATTTGAGTCAGTGCATTTTGTTTTTAAATAGCTTTCTGTTTCTTGTTTTCAAACATATGAGATGTGATACTGAATAGGTAAATAGTACTATTTTTATGTACTTATTGACGTATTGTAGTTGGGGTCTTAAATTAATTATGTAAATAATTGATTCCGACATTGTTAGTGTATTTTTAAAGCTAACTACTTTGAATATAATTTCACCGTGTTAATTACGTTTGAATTGTATTGTATGTATAACATTTATTTTCCTTATCGTGATTTCTCGCTCTTGACGGTATTTGAAGCTCGTTCTAGGTACACTATATAACACTAACTAGGACTAGATATAGTTACCAACCGCCGTTTGACTGGCGTCCTCCGTGGAGGGTCCATTGGTCCTTCATGCACGACAGCGGGTTTGATTTTTAGCAGCCACAATGTTTTATGTGAACACTTGTAATTTTTCAAATGTTTCCGGGGTAAATTGAAAATGGCGATAAATGTTCCGAGTACATTTTACTCATATATTAATCCCATTTCATGCATTTTGCTGCATTGTATGGAAAACACGTAACCTCGTCAGAATTCTCAATAAACAATAAAACACAATGTGCAAGATATTAAAAATTCAAAATCGAATGTTTCATATTTCCGTAATATAAAGAAAACTGATTTGAATTTTTTTTTTTGAAAAACTTTCCAGGTACGGGAAAGCTACAGGGAACTTGCGCAACAATGCGAAGAATTTGCCATGGCATTATTAGACCAGGTACGTCTTTTTTATATACGACAAAACATATATACTTCAACTTCATCATACCAGTCAAAAATATGTGACACCATTGGTATTCGCAGAGCCTCTTTACTCTATCAAAAAAGGAAATCGTAAAAGACTAGATACTGAATTATGATTGGTGCTATTCGACGCGCTATATTCTCTGTATTATGGCACTCAACTGAACAAGAAAACGTTGTTAAATTACGAACAGCACCAAAATAAACGTTAGCGATGATAGCATAACTAATTTAAGCGATGCAAACCTAATCTATTCCAATCACTCAATAGTAGTATATTTAGAGGAGATAATTTATATGACATGTTAATTATCAAAGTTTCATCCATCGCCAGTTAATTTAACAACTATCTCATATCCTGATGATCTTAATGATGGATATTTTGTGCCGTTATTCTTCTCTCGCTTTATGATGTGTTTACGAAAACATCTAGGTCGTATTGGAGGATGGTAAGTGTATCTTGAGAATGGGAATAAATAGGATATGGATTGCCAAAACCGAATACTTTAGTATTTCGAATAGATTCTAAACCAATCTTTTCGAATTCTTCAAGGCAATTTTTTGTCCATCATAAATAATAAATTTTTTTCATTTAATTATTTGTCGTTTTAAGCGTTTTACTTCAAAAATCTATCAATAAATATTCAGCATACCTAAATGTAATGTCTATGAAATTGCGAGTGTTCCTTAAAACTTCTCTGATGAACATAAATAGAACATATTTGATATTCTATATTCAGAAAATAATTTCAAAATGTATTCGGAATAGTAAAATCCATTCTTGTCTGAGGGATGTAAATAATTTGATATATTTACACTTTTGTATTAAGATACGAACTGCTCAAGAGTTGGCAGATCTTCTTCGATTCACGTTGGTTGGTCGGGAACATGGAAATACCAATCAACTCGCTTTTAGTACCTTACCTATGTTGATTGCCCCTAACCCAACTTCTGAAGAAACACTTGAAATACATGCGATTTTTGGCAGTAGAGACACAGTAAGTGACTTACCCAGTGAATCAAATTGGCCAAGTCCATCTCATCAATCTCCATCAATAAGAATAAATGATAACAATACGTTGAATCGCCAGGCGGAAAGAATAAAAAGTAGACCAGCTGAGTTATCACCAGATGCAGCCGATGTGATTCGTAGTATTACAAATACGGCATTGACGACCGCCCCCAAGTCAGAACGTCATATGCTTCCTGCTGTAGATAATCTGGCAAATAACGAGCCCGACCAGAGAAGAATATCTCAGGTTATGGATTATGTTCCAGAAGAAAGACATAGAACGTTAGGAATACGTAGACCGATTTCGGCATCTCTCAACGTGGAATATGCAAGACCAATTCACTTTTTGAAGCCGATAGAAAAAGCTGTTGACAACGGTATGGTGCGTCTCGTAACTTGCGAAAACTCGCAGCTTGCCTTGACTTATCTCAAGGATGGTATTTTATTTCGAGATGCGACACCAAAAAAATGTCTTCTTCAGAAATGTTTAGTTGGAATCATGTTTCCTATAATCAGCATAGCATTCTACTTCTTTCCAAACACTAGATTGGGTTTGGTTGCCAGGAATCCGACCGCCAAATTATGGATGGAGGTGAGAAAACATTTCATTTTCGTAAAGATTTCAAATTCAAATTCGTTCAAGGTCCAATGATCAACACTGTATCCAATGTAAGCTGCACAGTAATTTGCTAACTGATCATTAAATTGAAATGAAGTCACTTCACTGTCTCAACAATTCACATCGGTTGGGCTTTTGGTGAACGAACGCCGGGTTTATCAGAAAGATGGCGGAAACTATCCTGACCTAACTCGGGGGCACAAAAATATAAAAGTATTGTTCAAAATATCGAGCCCCGTAAGACCCAACAATTTTTCAAAACGACAACAATAATTTTAAAATATAACCCATATGTACATTTCCTTTTTGATAACTGTATTTTTTTTTGTCTTTTACAGGTTGCTTCTGATATTTATCTCATAATTCTTCTCATCATTAATTTGATATTATCACAAGTTCGTGTTATAAAAGTTGACGATTTTTCACCAATTCTTATCATTGCTTACTTTTGGATGCCGGGGAAATTCATAAACCTCATGTTTCTCACTTATCATCAAGGGAAAAGGGTTTTATTTTCAATTTGGAATTGGAACGATTTTGCAACTATATCACTTTATACTGTATTTATGATTTTACGGATATATGGATACACCATATCAGATTCCACTGTAAGTCAACCTTTCACCGCATCAAAATTTTTGCTATTTCATTAAAATATATTATGACGGTACAATGCCAAGAAATGTGTTTTTTTGTTTTGTTACTGTTATGTTTTCTGTGCTTCATTTGCGTTGCGTTTATACTTTTGCATGTACTTTATACTTTGTTTATTTTAAATCCAATTTTGGCCCGTTCAAGGAAATGCTGTTTATTTTCCTCAGTGATGACATTTTGCAACAATCACTTTTTGGGCTGTTTTTCTACAAATATTTTTAAATTCGAGTTAAGTTCCAAGTCGATTAATTACCTACGAACTTCTGGTGACTTGTTTTATAGTTAACACTGGAAAATTGGAGTGCGATTGGTCCAGAAGTTGCGGAGGAAGTGATTTTATTTTTAAATTTCAACAAGAACAACGATTATAACTAAGAAAGATGAAACCTGGTTCCAGGATTATCTTGAGTAAACCAGTATAAAATTTAAATACTAAATCATTATTTTAATTGGCAGGACATTTCAAAGATGCAATGGGACCCTATACCACTGTCCGACATGATGATCAGCGCAGTATATATTCTTGTGTTTCTCCGACCTCTGGAAATACTTCGAGTGAACCGAACATTTGGCCCATTACAGGTTAATTTTAAACTATACGTTCAAAATTTTGGTAAAAAAAAATAATATAATATTTACAAGAGAACGATGCTATAATATATGGGCACGAAACACAAATAACTAATATTGTCACGCAATATGAAACGCAGGGATGTTCAAAGCGAATCGAATATTCGAATTCATTTGAAATTCATTATATTTGAAGTAAATCTTTGAATATAGAAAAAATTTAGCACATTCTTATTAAAAATGTAGGGATTTCGAGCCGCCAGACAAGCGGATCTAAACATATGATATCTTAGCTGGTAACAAACAACCCAGAGAAAACAATGACATTTATATTTATGTCGTTTTAGGGTCCTCCTGAAGTATGCGCACCAAAATGGCGCACAACCTGAACTCAGGTTGTGTACCGGGTTAGTGTTCAGGTTATGCGACATCCTGGTGCGCATACTTCAGGAGCACCCGTTATGGCCATCCCTGATCGAAAGTATTGTACCGAAGGTATATACGCAAAATATATGGTATTATGTTTTGTTTCACCCATTTTAATTTTTTGTCGGCACATTATTGATAGTTTTCTCCGAGTGAAAAGTTTTGAAGTGTTGCATTATATTACGCAAATATATGTTATTCTTTTCTGCTCCGGCCATTTCAATTTTTTTGCCCGCGTCCGCGAGTACATTTAAATAGAAGGGTTAGAGTAGAAAGGCCAGAGTTCCAGTTGGGAACCACTGATCAGTCCATCAGTTGCAAACCACAGGTCCACTTCGCGCCGAGTAGTTTGTTGATTTATGTATGTGGTAAATGTAATATACATGGGGGCTATTTAAGCCAAATTTGTCGAGGACATGGGAGTAGACCTGGGACCTTTTGTTATTTTAAAATGTTTTAAATTACGAATATATATGTGCAACAGGTATCTGTTGACCGGATGATCGGAGACGTTTCCAAGTTTTTTCTCTTGTTCTTGGTTATTTGGTTTGCGTTTTCAAGTGGGATCAACACCCTCTACTGGAGTACAGCGGTCAGTCAGACGGATTTCACAATTTGCACTATGGACAAAAAGAACAAGGTATGGAGACATGTCGTATAGTTGTATCTGATTTTTATTTGTTATATATCCATAAGATTTATATTGAGTTGGTAAAAGTTTCTTCTTACATCTAGTTTTAACGAATGTAACAGTTTCATTTCTGTTCGCAGAGCAGCAAAGAAGACATACATTGCTGTTTTTCGGAGGAAGGCACTCAGAATTCACCACTATCGTCAGTTCTTTTGCAAGTTTGCTTCTGGTCAATATTTGGATACAGCGATGAATTACAACAGGTACAAAACATTGTATACAAATTTAATTTCCAGACAGTATTCTTAATGCACATTCTCTGTAGATAGCACAGGCTCAGCAGTTGCTAATATAAATGGGTATATTAAGTCATCTTTTAATAACTTTTTTAAAAGTTAATCAAAAGTATTTTTTTATCACCTTGTGGAACGGGATATTTACAGAGTTCCATACCAAAAGAGGGTATTATACGCCTAGTCATGTCATTCAATATAGCCTTAATAATTCAGGTGAAAAGAGTTTATGTTACAAAACATTTGATCACGAAGTGAGACACATATTTTGATTTCTTTTTTCTCAAGGTGGTTCAATTTAACGTGCGCAGATGAATCAGCAAAAAAAGAAATTACTGCAGTATTTGGAGAAACTGTTTTTGCTTTATATCATATCGGAACCGTTCTTATCCTGGTTAATATGTTGATCGCCATTATGAGTGGAACGCTGCAGAAAAACGAATAGACGATAGCGATATTCAATGGCAGTTTCATCGCACGAGGGTAAAACTTTAAAAGAAGTAGATTTGTTGATTCAGTGAATCGCGAAATTTTAATGACGTTGTCGTTTTTTTACTCCTAATCTTTGCTTATTTATTGCTTATTACTTTACCATCTTTAAAAAAAATTAACTATTTACTAATTAAAAAATTTACTTCAAAAAAAAATTATTAACTATTATTTGAACGTATGTGGTTTGCAAAACCCACGTGGCACCATGGTTGTTTTGATTTCAAAATACTGAAATAATTTACAAACTGCATGGCATAAAAAATGGGCATTTTACAGGTATGGATTCGTTTCATTAGGACAGGCACCATGGTTGTTTTGATTTCAAAATACTGAAATAATTTACAAACTGCATGGCATAAAAAATAGGCATTTTACAGGTATGGATTCGTTTCATTAGGACAGGATTCTACCGACCTCCACCGATGAACTTGATTCCAAGACCGAAGGAGTTTGTCTATCTCGGCTCGTTCATAATAAAAGGCTTCCGAAAGCTGTGTAGGTATGTCTTTATTCCTAATAGGCTTACAGTTTTAATCGTAATACGAATGATGATGCTTTAAAATTCGACGATGTGCCTCAGATTATCTTCGAAAATTTTTGAGGAAATATCTGAAAGAAAAAGTTTCTGTCATTGAAAAAAAAATGATAATATTATATGATTACTTATTAATGGTTGCAGTGATGTCCCTACTAGAGATGTACCGATGTATCGGGTATCGGAATCGACAATATCTGCCAATTTTTCGGTATCGGTGGAGTATCGGTATCGGCTAAATTTAGACCGATATTTCCGATATATATTCAGCTTCTCCATATTATCCAAGGTGTTTTAAAAAAATGGGTTAGAATACTGATGTTTAAATTATTTTTTGCTTGGATAGATATGAGCTTGGTGAACTATGAGCCATGTACGCCCCCCCCCCCCCCCGGATTTTCCGATGTGTAAAATATAAAATACAACGTTATATTGGCACAAAATCCCGCGCACGTAACTCAATGTATCAGTTTCATATACGATAAGCAGGCTAAACATTTATTTATTTTACCACCAACAGTATAGCGAAATTCTATTAGTTTTCTAATTGGACACCAAGATTACTAGTGCCAGTGCTCAATGCTTTGAATCAATTAACGCATTTGGATCCCAAACATCAATTTCTCTCTCTATATATATATATATATATATATATATGATATTTCTCTTATTTGATCCAAAATTATGTGCACTATTAATGATGCTCGAAGACTATTGTTTTAACTCGTCTGCCCTACACACTTAAGTAATAATTACATAGAATCGGAATCGGTATCGGCAATATCGGCCTTTCCAAATATCGACGCATTGATATCGGTATCCGGCGTTTTTTAGCTGATATCGGATCGGGTATCGACGACAAAAATGGTAATCGGTACATCTCGAGTCCCTGCATCCCTCCAACAGGTGGTGCACAAGGGTTGCTCCGCCATCAAGTCCACAAATTTGCAACAAATAACTGTGTTGAAAGAGGTATGAAAAGTAAAACTGAGAGTGTGTCAATAACATACATACAACATCACTCCACAAAATGATGCCATGGTGAGTTTTTGATGTACCATTATGTCCCAAACTTTTATTTATGTCGGCATTTTTGCAATTTCTTAGGTGTATTCTGTGCAGAGTGCAGAAGAATGTTAGCAGACATCCTGAACGGGCATATCAAGCGAATATACCAATGAATCAATACGGAAGACGAAACGACGCTAAGGCGCATCTCAAAGCAGGAATGATACAGAAAAATGGCAGTCCAGAGTCTCATACAAGTGGAGAAGGATACAAAGAGCATTGGTCACCTGGTAGTGCAGCGACAGAAGAAAAGTATTCTCGCTATGAACGTCACCCTTAGAAAATGCGTCAGAAGATACCTGAAAGCGAATGGAGTTCATCCAGATGATCAACAAACAGCAATATATGAGACGGTACAACCATTCTATTTGCGCCTATTTCCACTAATCATTGTACTTTTGAAGGTCATGATGATGAGACTGAATACACATCACGGTGGGAGTCGGGACATGTTGACACCACAGCTTTCAACAAAGGAGTAAAGCAAATTTGCGAGACGAAAGCGTTTGACCGCGCCGTCACGTACAAGCACTAAAAGAAAAAGTAACGGGCAAAAATATAAATTTCGAACGAAAAGAGTATATAAATATATTGGCTCAAATCTTAGTCCTAATTCCAAAATGGAATTTATTCTCACTGGACAGCTTATTTACTATAGTAGGAATTCCATGTTTCCTATTATCAGATTTCCAATGTATAATAATATTTTTGTAATTTCGTTAGCATTTGTAAAAATGAACTTATCTGTAATTGATTTCTATCTTTGTTGCACTGTTTTTTTTCACTTCTTGTCATATAAATGAGTGGAGTATATTTATAAAAAATTGGGTTTATTAATTTTTGGGTACTCCCGAAGTATGTGAACCAAGATGGCGGACACCGGAACGTAGTATGTGTACCAGGCCATTTTTTATTCCAATTTTCCTTATTTTAGTTCTATTACGAGTTTGGGACTAGCCAAGTGACTTCCGTAGTATTTGTACCGGAAATTATGGTCTAACCCTAACCTGGTACACATACGACGTACCGGTGTCCGCCATCTTGCTTCACATGCTACGGGAGTACCGATTTATACTTGAGTATATTGCCTTTCTCCCATTTTCTTTGTAGCTACGAGCTATTGTCAAATACACCAGTCAACAAATGAAATTTTAAGTCTTTCCATCTCCAAGGTCCGTTGCATGCTCTATACATGGCCTGTTTCTGAAAAATGTTTACATTTTCGTGGGATTGCAATCTAGCTAAAAGCTATTGGTTTGCTTTGTTATAACTTACAAGCCTATTTTTACTAAATGTTTTCCTTGTCCACAGTAGCCACATATTATGTATACAAAATAATCAATCAATGACGGTAAAACCTTATGTAGCAGACCCTGCGTTGCTTTCATAATTTTGCACTTTTTGACTGAGATCAGAACGATCGTTTTGTCAACAAATTTTCTGCGCTATTCAACGTCTCAGGATTTACTTTGTTTCCCATCTTATACTGTATCTTTGTTTCCTTGATATTTTATGGGTTCTGTCGCCTATGTTAACCAGCATGATTTTGTTGTTTTTTTTCTTTGAGATTGCACTTTTAATAAAAATATCTACTGAAGTTTCATATTGTCGAGATTACGCTCCAGAAAACATACATTAGTTGTATTGTAGGAATGTGTTTCCAATGGTAGTTGTTGATGAGGTTGATGAGATGGCGAGGTTTTAGATTTTGCGAATGTAGGATAATGAATATCACGTAAATAATGACCAAACTATCTTGGACGGCACGAGAAGGTTTTTTTGTTTTATCTTACATTTCATTTTATGACGTATGATCGTTGACCCTATCAAAAAACAACCATTTTCAGTATTAGAATTATCCTACCAATGCTGAAAGTGGTTGGGTAACGGTATTAGCAGAGAGTGTTTGTAAAACGTTCGTCAACCTTATGCGCTTTTTCGGGAATTATGGTTACTGACGCCACTGGAGGGACTAACCTGGCAATCTCCTGCTCCCAAATTTCGCCTCTGTAAATCTACTTCTTTTGAATCCACAAAAAAATTACGATTGCCTACCAAGGTAGGCCCTATACATAAAAAGTTGTCGACGTTGTGATGTCGTTGTTGGTAATGTTAAAGATGCATTTGGCAGCTGTTTCACAAAAAGTTAAGACGACTGACAGTAATGGTTGACAAGTAATGGTCACTTAGAATGAAGTTTGAATGATATAAACTGTTGTTGTTGTACCAAATATGAATATTTCGAATGTATCTGTTCAAGTCTTTGAATCAATGTCAAGAAATTTTAAAATGATTAATCATATTTTAAACCCCTTCCTATTTTCTATGCGTATATTACGCCGGTAAAAATAAAAGCGGTCAGTTCACAAGTCACAATTACAAATATGGTCAAAATAATTTTGATAGCAATCATTAAGCTTATTTATAGTAGTAGCCAGAAGGTAGTGTCCACTGAGTAAAAACCCACGGTATATTTCTCAATGGACCTTTCCCCGACCTTTGACCCCCAAAAAATTCTTCTTATACTTTACCATTGCAAAATTTCCAGGGCTATTTTAAGAGTACTTTTGCGAGTTGGCGCCTGTGAAATGAGGTATGTGTTTTGAACCATCATTATGATTGATCGCATACAACAATCTGTTTTTTTAAAAGTACCGGTAAATAATTTTAGCCTAGTCTATCACAGCTATTTCCACACTGATTTTTAATTACTACAATTAAAAAATTAAAACTTCTAGGAAAAGAGAGTGATCATTGAAATATCTGATTTATATTTAAGTTTCCGAAACACAACTGAAAACTAACGAATAGAGTTCAAAAACGCAAAAACGAGGTAATGTTTACGACCACGCTTGAAAATCTGTCTGAGTGAGAAAGGGGTCTGAGCGGATGCGAAAAGGGAGCATTGTTACGTCACTTTTTGCATTTTGCTGATTGGCCAATGTCACAAAGTAAACAAGGAATACGATGCTCGGGGAAAGGTCCCATCCGATCACCCAAAAAATTAGCAGGTAATAGGAACGCTCAATACTGACACCACATGGCGCCGTCGAGTTTTTCGTCTCTTTTCAATTGAATTGTTGAAATTGGGACTCTTCAGAGGAGGCGCAGTTCTTACCACTTCATGGCAGCTCCTGCCACGAACGTACCACGTCCTCTCCTGCCATGGTTTTATGGCGCTATTACCGGTATATTTACAAATTCATGTACCATATTTTAGTTTATCATGCGAAATTATATCTACTTAAACCCTAACCCTAACCCCAAATCCATCCAAACTGTATCCATAAGAAAAACATTCCAACTCACCAAATATTTATCACCATCAGCAGATTAGGGGCAGCCCTGCTATTACAGCCGACCTGCCGTGGTTACGGCAGTAAAATTGGTGGTATTCGATTTGCTGCCGTAACCACGGCAGCTCGCTATTGGTTTGTGGCAGCTAAAAGTCAGTCGCCGTGGGTTTGGTCTTAGTGGCCGTGGTATGGAAATCCCGCCATGGTTTTGCGGCAGCTGTAGACGCCACAAAATACTTGAAACTGCACTTGCTTCAGAGACAGAGAAACGCGAGTTCTGGAGTTAGTGAAAGTGTACTGTTTTGCCTTAAGAGTCTCGCAGTGTTCGAGGCCGCGAAATACTTAACAAGCATGTCTGTCTCACAAAGGAATTACAACATAAAGCAGGAAATATATATTCGAATAGCTGATGACGAAAATGAGGAGGCTATAGAAATTCCAGGAGAATCAGATGGCACCATGTTATTGTCCAGCGTTACAGGTAAAAGATAAAAATACCCGTAATGCCGTTATTTAAAAAGATAAAGCAGTAGCTACTGGATAAATATTTTGTTAAGTACGGTACTCAATTCAGTAGGAAATCACTGACCGATAAATGGGCACAAACGCTTGCAGCGTTCGCTTTAAACTTTTCTCTAGTTTTTGCTCATTTTCGCGATCTTTTCGTCGCCCTTGTCTTTGTTTTTTATTTTGTGTTCAGTATTTTCATGTTGTAGACGGAAGATAAAAAAAATATAAAAACATATAATATGTCCACAAAGTGCTGAAGTGACTAACTTCCAAGCCTGTCAGCCTTAATTACTCAATTACCGGTACCGGTACATTAATGAAATCACGGTACTGGTACATTACCGTACTGGTAACACTAAACTCAACTCGGGTCTCGTGTAGTTTTGTGCCTATTCTAGTCTACTTCTGTACTTCTAGTGGGTGTATCATAATAATTTTTTCACATGTCAATCCTAACTCCCATCTGACTACACCATCCAAAACCATCGATACAACAGTGTTTTCCAAATTTGTCTTTTTTTATTTAACTTGATGTTTTTCTCTATTTTTCAGCCCAATTTGCTGGGGCATGCGGTCTCAAGTATAGAAATGCTGACACTCAAACAATGAGGGGAGTGCGATTGGTTGAAGGTACATTTCATCCACCAGATGGTTCGTGGGGATCACAACTTTATATTGTTGTTTATCCAAAAGGTAAATTAATAGAAAAGGGAATTCAGTATTCTGTGTAGTACCAAGACTGATAGCTAACTTGTGCTATAAACTTTTTCTGTTAAAATTACTACTTACTGAATCATGCATTGAACTGCTAGCCATGGGGTTCAAGAAGATAATTAATATTTTCATTGCTTACCTTTTTTTGGTCCTATTTGACAGCCCGTAGCATGTATATTGTCACTAGAACATTGCTAGAAATACAATTATGCGAGCCATTTAATATGATATAGGAAAAGTTGGTAGTATACTGTTTTATGTTATATTGATATAGTTTCAATTTTCAGTTGTTTGCATGTTCAATCAATACTATACTATTCTGGTTGGCAAGACCTGATTTATTGCACAAAATACACCCCTTTGCTCTTATTTCAATTACCAATGCCATGTTGGTTTCACTTTTTAGACATCTTGTTCAATTTTCCAGTGCACAATAATTTTTGTGTAAATTTTCTTCAATTTGGCAGATAATAAACGAAAGATGGATGACACTGAAAGTCAAGGAATCCGCAGTAAAAGGCCGGCACAAAAATGCTCGGACCTAATTGTTATGGGATTACCTTGGGAAACATCTGTCAACGATTAAAAACAATATTTTGGACAATTTGGTGAATTAGTTTTGGCACAAGTGGGTATTTTTTCAGTAAAATTTTTGTTTTGAGTGTATGATGTGTTATGTACATATACTAGTATATTTCATATAGGTACTGCTGATGCTTGTATATTTCTATTTGTATGATGTTTTTGTACTGCAGATTATCTGTTTATATTTTGCGATTGATTATTTTGTTTCGGTATATGAGTGCTATTATGAGTCCTAATGAAATATTTGCAGTATTTTTTTTCAGAATATTTTTTACAGAATATGTGTGTCTTTTTTGTTTTGTAACTAGGATATAGTTGCATTTCTGAAGTATTTTTAACATTTTGGTAAATTGTCTGCAGCTTTATTCAACTGGGCATTGTGTGATGAAGACATTGTTTGTAGGTTAGTTTGTATGGAAGAGTCAGAAATATGTTCTTGCTGGATTGATATAACAGTATATGAGGCAATTTGATTTGCTAAATTGACTGAAGATATGATTAGAGCTGAACATTATTCGAATCGGTTCAGCAGAAAATGTTGTATCCCTGTCATCTTTTTTATTTTATTTGGCCACACAAAGGTCGAGGTGGATTCCTCAATTTTTTTCTTGAAGCTATAGTTTTATGATGTAATTTGGACATATGACTCTTTTTTTTTGTGAGATATTGATGAAACATTTTTCTCATTGTGTGTGAACTTTCAGCAAAATGTCTGAGTGATGGATTTCACGTTTTCAGTAATTTATGTGTTTGGAGGACCCATCACAATAAAAAGTCACATACATTCATATATCTTCCAAGTTCCGAATATTCAAGAAAATATTCGTTCGTATCTGAAATCATCACGAAAATGCCCAGCCCTAGATATGATTGATCATCACAAGACTTTTTCAGCATTCATGTTGTGATAACAAACAATGAAATTTATGAGTAAAATATAGAACGGATGCCAGTTAGTGTATATCTGAAGCAACCAGAAGTGTGCCCTGTATGATGATCATTCAAAAGTTGTTTGTAGAGATTTGAGCCATCTTTCTCATACAAAATTTTCATCCTCCAACTTAGAGTTTCATGGGATTGTCTGGGATCTTGACTGCACCTGATTTTTTTGAATAGCATTTATCATAGAATACCAAAGCCTATTTCACATCAAATTTTGGGTGTATGTCTGGGGTATCACATGATAAATGGTATCGATTGTCCTGGGATTGCTGTGTTGTAAAATATGAAGTGAGATGTCCGTTATACAATTGATTGAAGAGTTGTTTGGAATTGATCATTGTAGTTGTTATCGACTGAAGCTTATTGAATGTCTGGTGAAATGATCAACAATCAGATCATTATGAATGAGGTATGGTGTATAATTTTTTGTGATTCAGTTATATTTTGATAATTATGTCAAGAAAACCTTAATGATCTTCTGGTAAATAAATTATTGGTTGATGTAACATGTAATGAAAGAACTCATGTTCAAACATATCCACCACTTAGTCACGATGTGATAAAATTGTGTCTTATAATAGAGGCAAATACTTGGTTATATTTAAACAATATACATGTATTAAAATAGACTTGGGGACTTGAATGGGAACTTGTGGAACCCCTGGACTGTACTAGCGCAGCACTAGAGTCCGCGGAACCCTGATTGAAAATCACTGTTCTAGGACATAGTAGCTTCTTGTTAAAAGTTGAATCTCGTCAAAAATAACCGAGTTAATACAAGATGAAGAAATGATTTTCATGTTATTTTTTTTAATTATTGAAGTGTATTTTTATATTTTCAGGTACTGTTTAACTAAATCAGCCGTAAATCTAGCTCTTACTTGTAATGCTAAAATGTAATAAACATCGGCCAATAATTATTATATTTTTTTCAGGTTTAAAGATGGAAGAAAAATTACCTGTCAAGAACAGTGGAATTTTTGACTGACAAACTTGTCATTTTGTCTTTTTGTCCCTTAGAAAAAAAATGTATTTCAAAACACTGAATCATTCTATTGTTTTTATTGCTATTGAAGTTAAAATTTCATCATTTTCTTATTTTTTTTTTATCACTCTATGACAAATTTTCTACCTATCTCATGGTGAAGGATTCGTCCATTTTAAATTAGCAGGCGTACATATCAATATATTATGGATTTGATCAATTTGTTAGACTGAATTGATCACATGTAATTAAACATGCATTATGCTTGTCAAAATACAAAATCTGTTCAGATAAATCAATCAGGATTCTATGCAACGAGGATGATTTTCAATTGAGTTCAAAGCATATTTCTAAAATTATTGCATTGTTATCCACAAATTACAGATGTTCAGAATTTAAATTAGATGAAAAACATGAATCATGATTTTTATCACACTAATCAGAGTTTAATATTAAGCAGTTGCTTTTTGTAGTCCAATATTGTTCTCTACTTTTCATTTCATTTTCATCATCTTAGATTAGTCTAATCAGGCAGAAAAATTTGATCATCAACACGCTATCCAATTCATTACCTTGTATATGTTCTTTGATCGTCTATGATCATTTATTTGGGAATAACATTCTGCCATGATTTCATATGGTTTTAGTAGCTCATAGAATTTTAGTGGTCCTCCATAAATTTGCTTATAAATGAGTCTCTGTTACTTTAGAGTGTGTGAGCATCACATTGCTTTAAAATTTTTTTGTAAAAAAGGGTAATGCTAGTGGTCAAACAAAGTGAGAAAATTACTGCCTCAATTATAATATATTCAATTTGAATTTCAAAAAACATACCTAAGTATTATAAATTAAATTTGGGGTAGAACCACAATGAAATATCCCATAGGTTTGAGGGACCTCTGTGCAAACCTAGTACTGGCAAAGGAAAATGATCTTTAAAGTGTAGCAGGTCTGATACTAGTAGCAAACCTAATAGATGTTTGTTTATATTTAAACGATATACATATAATAATATTATACCATTTTGGATTTAATAGATTCCTGTACTAGCCTCGGGACCCTTGGGTGCCACGGTAGTGACGGTACCCGGCTGAAAACCACTTCTCTATATCATTGATCTCACCTGTTTCTAGTCCTAATGAATTTGCGACACATTGGAATGTCCACATGTTTTTCAGCTTAAAACTCATCCTGAAACAGGAAAATCGAAAGGATACGGCTTCATAAAATTTGCTGATTATGAGGTTCAAAAGAGAGTTACAAGCAAGCGTCATCAGATAGGAGGAAGGTGGTGTGATGTGAAAATTCCATATTCCAAGGTTTGGATCTTGATTATTTTGTTGTTTTAAACTAGAAAAGTTGCTGATGTCCAATTAGTATTTACATGTGACACATCATGAAGCCAGATCCAGGGGGATAATAGGGTTTCCCATTTTCTAAGACCTAATAAATGTATTGATATCATCATTAGAGTTTGCAATATTCTGCTGTTTTATATTGTAATATGTTATAATCTAAATCTATTTTTCTTCTCTCAGAGAAAATTACAAACATGGCAAAATTCATTTAATTTGCTTTGTGAAATTAATTCAATTATAATAAAATTTCATTTTGTTATAAGTGTTCTCTCCGTTTGCATAATTGGCTAATATTTTGTTGTTCTTAAATTTCTTATTTTCAAAGCAACAACAAGGGCAATCCCAGCTAAGTAACAGGATATTCGTTGGACGAGTGACAGAGGATATGACTGATGATGACTTGAGATCTTATTTCCGGCAGTTTGGTGAAGTCACTGATGTATTTGTTCCAAAACCATTTCGTCCTTTTGCATTTATTACTTTTGATGATGAAGGTATGATATGATTCTGGTTGTGAGACCATATTGTGGCCAACATATTTTAACTCTTTTCAAGTTACACCAACTTTTTAAAAAATTAAATTAGGTGAACTCTCACGGCCCAAGAATATGATCTAATACTAACTAGTAACTACCTTGCATGTTTTTTTCATTTCTGAATAAACTCCATAATGTTTCCCTGTAATCAAAAAATTTCACACGGAAATGTTATTTCTGTTTTGTCACCATAAAAAATGACTTTTTGTCATGCAAATACTATATTTTCGACTTGGCTGCTAAATGGGTCTGTACTTGACTGAGCTTTGGTTCATTAAACTCTTAAATATCAATAAATCTTCAATGTGGATTTGTCCAAAATGATTCAAATAAAAAATGAATTTTCTTAAAATTGATCATATTGGATATTTCAAATTTTTAAAATGAGAATAATCTGAGTTTCGTTCAAAAAACAATAAGTTTGAGCAATAGAAGTCTCATAGTATTATCACAATATCCTTTCATTATTGAAAACTGTAAATTAATAAAACCATTCAAATTAATATCCATCTCATTTTTTTTTCATTTCAAAATTCAAATTCATTGAATGTGCTATCGATTGGGTTTCCACAAGACCAACTACTTTCTGTTTCCTATGCTTCTGCGTCGGTGGATCCGTATGCATATAATGCAAGGATGCTGTAGCAAGAGTGAAGATAACTATCCTGAGTAATCGAATAAATAGTCTCGCTGCACACTAACACGAATTTATTTCTGTAATGTTCGTCTGACCAAGCTATTCTTGCTTTAGTTGAAATATGTATGTCCGAAGAAGTTTGACCTTGGTTACTCAGGATCAGGATCATTGAATGTGCATTGAGTTTCTATGGGATTTTCTGACATGACCCTATTTAGAATATATATTTGATATTCCATATACAAAATGATACTTCAGAACATATTCGAAATAGTAGATTATTCCATTTCAGCCATCACCTGTATTGTGTTTCTCTTAGATGTGGCCGCAAGTTTATGTGGGGAAGATCATATTATAAATGGTGTAAGCGTATTTACAAGCTCTGCCGATCCAAAATCAAAATCCCCTGCACAGAATCAAGGTTTCAATAATAACATGGGTGCAAGTGGAGGGGGAGCCAGCGGTGGATTCTACAGTAGTGGCGGAGGGGGATTCGATGGTCGTAATCGACAAATGCGAGATCATGAAAGGGGAGGCTGGAACAGATCACATGGAGGGGGCAGTAATCCTATGGCTAGCAACAGTGGGTATTCTTGTTAAACTAGTAGTATTCAATGCTAACAATTGCTACATATTTTTCAGCTTTCGAAAGAGGTATATTTTGCATGAAACTAGCCCCAGTATTGTTAGTATAAACAAGCCAAATATAAATATTACTGATATCATATAGAATGAACCATGAGTATGACATCCTTTTTTCTGCAACTAATGGACCAACTGATTTCAAATTTTATGTACTCAAATATGAAAATATTTTTCAAAAGGCTCTTACTTTTTTTTTTTAATTTTTTTTT